TGTAGATAAGCCTTAATGAAGGATATTTGTGTTCCCTGATTCCCTCTATAGCTTCTGCCCTTTCTCCCTCTACCAACAAACTTCCAAAGAGGAGAGATGAAGGATGTATCATTGCCTCTACTACCTCATCAGGTTCCAGTTCTCAAGATACTGCAGTCTGGCTTCTTCTGTCTCCACCCCTCTACTGGACATGCTCTCACAATGGCCAGTAATGATAATCAACTATTACCATAATAACAACTAATGATTTTTTGTGGATTTATTGGGTGCCAAACCCTGGGCTCAGTGCTTTACACTGGAGAGAAACCTGGAGGACTTTAGGGCTGTGCCTGTAGATAGTGAGTTTAGTGAGCAAACCTGAGTTTAGTGGGCTCGGTTTTTTTTTTTTTTTTTTGCGAAGGAGTTTCGCTCTTGTTACCCAGGCTGGAGTGCAATGGCGCAATCTCGGCTCACCGCAACCTCCGCCTCCTGGGCTCAGGCAATTCTCCTGCCTCAGCCTCCTGAGTAGCTGGGATTACAGGCACGCGCCACCATGCCCAGCTAATTTTTTGTATTTTTAGTAGAGACAGGGTTTCACCATGTTGACCTGGATGGTCTCAATCTCTTGACCTTGTGATCCACCCTCCTCGGCCTCCCAAAGTGCTGGGATTACAGGCGTGAGCCGGGCTCGGGTTTTAAAAATCAAGCCAACATTAAAAAAATCAGAATACTTCAGACAAAAATGTAAATGAGAGGTGCCCACCCTTTGCACAAAGTGAATATATGTGTACTTGGATCTTCCTCACCTCTCTAATCAATGTCATCTGCCTGACTCCTAAAAAAGCATGACTTACTACCCATGCTTTACATGGGTATTCTGGTCAGGATTTAATAATTGTTAGAAAATAGACCCACTTAAACTAGCTCAAGATAAAGGAGAGGGATTATGAAACATCATCTCATGAGAGGGAGCCATGGAAGCCTTGGATTTATGAACACTGAGACTGGAAGCCACACAGCTGTCAGCCTCCTTTTAGTGTCTCAGCTTCTCACTAGTGACTCCACTCCCTCTGGCCACAGACTGGCTTCCTCTATTTACTCATTTCAATCCCCTCATTGCCTCAACTTGCTTAAAACCTGTCATCCCAAACTTATCCCAGCCTCATACCATCCCTCCTTATTCTATTGCTAACTGCCTTAATCTTTAAATTTTCTAATTATAAATTCCTAAAAGAGGAATTTGAAGGACCAGCATGTATTTTCAAACTTGGTCACATATGTTGTAAATTACTTTCAAGCTGCAATAGGTCATACCGTGGGAAGTACACAAATGTGGTCCAAATATTCTCAATATTTGTGACCAGGTAGCCTGAAAGTTTCCTTTAGAAGGGCTGTGGGTTGACAGGCACTATATCATTAGAATATTGATTGATAGCCATTATTTATACTCATTTTATAGACAAGAATCTTGAGGCTTATGGAAGTGATGAAATTTGACCAAGAAAAGTGTCTATTTTCAATATAATCTTTCTTGACTTTCAGGCTAACATTCTTAGATAGTCTTTACATATTGAAACTTAAAATTCTTCTCTTGGTTTCTGTGACAGTATACCCTTTCAGTTTTGTACTATTCTGATTGCTCCTCTGCTATTTTTAATTCCTTGTTCTTCTTCCAATTTTTAAATGTAGGAGATCTCCAAGGGACTCCCCATGTCTCCTTCTTGTCTCTTTCTGTATCTTCTTCTTAGGCAAAATAATAGGCTTCTGTAGATTTCAATACATTCACACATCATGATTTCTTAACCTGAGGTTCTTGGCTCTCCCCTCACCCTCTGCCTAAAGGGACTTGATAGAATTTTGGGGGTTCATGGACTTGAAGGAGAAAAAAAATCACATCTTTAGCTTTTCACTAAACTCTAACAGAAATTTACCAATTCCTTCAATTATGGATGTAGTTAATAAGCCACTATAATAGCAGCAACACTGACTTTGTCACCGGTAGAAATCACAGGCATTTTTGTATTTTCCAATTATTGCAAGTACCTCAAAATTTTATCTTTTCCCATTACTATTTCAAAATCACGATGGCAATTTGATCCAGCACTTGATCCTGATATTTAATATATTAATAAAGAAGCATACATATTATCATAACAAAATTTTAATGTTTTGATAATTGTTTTGCAATATAGTTTCTTTTGTAATCTTATATCAAATTTTACATATCTTTTTTTTTGAGAAAGCACCATAGATTTCATCAGACTACAAAGGGTCCTTGGCCCTCCTCTTACTCCCACACAAAAAAAATGGTCAAGAACCCCTACTAAAACATTCAAGCTATATGGTCTGTCAGGACTTGTAAAGGGGATAAAGTCCTAGGCAACACAGGAGCCACTTCCTTCAAGCCTAATGACCTGCTCAATTTTCTGAGTCTTATCTTTCAGTTTCGGCTACCCGTTTTATCTGTAGACCTTATTTGTCAGATTGGCATCTAATACTCCCTGTGGTCTGATAACCTGGTGCTGATCTGGAACCTCTACCTTATATCTCAGATTGCATTTTGCTTTCAGTTACTCTTCCACTTTGTTTACTAACTCTGGGTCTCAACTCTATACTGGCTTTGCTGTTTTCCTGGATTGCTAACACATTTTCTCCTGCTTATAAGGTCTAAAGGTGAACCTTTACATTCAGTGTGGAAAAAATAAGAGGATTCTTCTTGAAGTATAGTTCTAGTATATCCTTCTATTCCTCAGAATGCATTTGTACACAGAATGCTTATGAACTTCTCAGGGCACTTTTGGTTCCATGAAACAAAACCCATTTCATGTCAGTTAAGCAAGATGAGGAACTTATAGATCAGAGATATTACACGGCCCTCAAGAGCAGGGATATAGGAACAGGTTTAACAGGATTAGAGATTGGCAAACTTTTTCTGTAAAGGCCAGATGTAAATGTATTAGGCTTTGTGGGCCATAGGACCTCTGTCAGCCTACCATAGACAACAAGAGGAATGTGTTTCAGTAAAACTTTATTTACAAAACAGGCAGCCACGTGCATTTGACATGCAGGTCATAGTTTGAGGACCCTTAGATTATTGTTAGGACTCTTTCTAAATCTCAGAGTTATTATATCCAACTCTTTGTTACAATTTTCTATTGTTCTCTTCCTACTGACTAGCTTCTTCAGCTTTTCTGATTCTCATGCTGGAAGCTCTGAGCTTCCATGTCACAAATTCAAGCTCTCTTGTTTTCCCAGTCCCAATTCTGAATCTTTAGGGTAGAAATGTTGCCTGGTCTTGCTTGGCTCATGTGCTCACTCCTAGATCAATAGCTGTGGTCAGGCGTTTAGGTCCTGCTGTATGTACAGGGCTTTGGGGACCCTTACAACCTCTAGGATCAGATGCCAGAAAATCCCAAGGAGCTGAACAGATAAATCAGTGAAAGTCCTTTGTTGGCATTCATTCAAACCTCCTTTTTCAGCATTGTTCTCTACTAGTCCCTTAATATTTCTTTCTGAAGCAAAACCAACTCCTTACTGTTCTCACACACTGAATATTCTCACCCTGCATCCCCCCTATCTGCAGACAGAAATTCTACTCATCTTTAAAGTACCTTCTATAATGGCTACCTTTTTCCTTTACATCCATACAACACTGTATTGATACAGTGTGTCTTGTTCTGTCACTATTTCTGTATTTGTCTTTTTTTTTTCCTGGACAGTAGGTGCTTTGCTGACTGAGAAAATGACTTGTTCAAGTTTTTATCCACTCTTGTACCTTTCAGAGTAGGCTCTGGGTTCCAATTAGTTAAATTTAACTGTATCTTCATAGCTGAATAGTTCCAAACTGAAGAAAATACTGACTTTTATAAAGATTTCCTTTTTTTTTTTTTTCAAGACAGAGCCTTGCCCTGTCACCCAGGCTGGAGTGCAGTGGAGTGATCTCGACTCACTGAAACTTCGGTCTCCCGAGTTCAAGTGATTCTCCTGCCTCAGCCTCCCAAGGAGCCGAGATCACAGGCACATGCTACCATGCCCTGCTAATTTTTTGTATCTTTAGTAGAGACGAGGTTTCACCGTGTTGGTCAAGCTGTTTTCAAACTCCTGACCTCAGGTGATTCACTGGCTTCAGCCTCCCTAAGTGCTGTAATTGCAGGCATGAGCCACTGCGCCCAGCCTAAAGACTTGCATTTATATAGGAAATGTGGTATCTACTTTTAAGAAAATTATTTTCTATTTTATAAACATTCATTTCCACATTTATGGTAGCAAAATCAAAGTACATTTGCTGAGAGACAAAGACAACAAAATTTCTATTTAAAATTTTAAACACGAATAAGAAAGTCCCATTAGGATTGTCTCTTCTGTTACTGAAGGAAATTTAAAAAGATTCCTACTACAGAAATGGCTTAAGATGAGTAAAAGGAAAGGTTATAAACTTGAAATATTCATAATTGTGAATTTAGAGCACTAATTTCATAATTTAGTGCTGTAAAAAGTACTTCACAATGATTGCTCTTTGTGCAAGAAATTTATCAAAGAGCCAGAGACCTCATAATCTAATTTCTTACTTTTACTTAATTAACATTGTTCCCAGATCTCTGCTAAACTCCCGTGCTGAAAGGAAAAAAGTAAATACAGTACAGCAGGGAAAACTGGTTCCTTTCAACAAAACTGTGAGAGAGGCTTGAGCTTCTGTCAAACAGCAAGCATTTGCTAAAAAACTATTCCTAAACATTAGCTACTATATAAAAGCTTTTTATTTAATAGCATCCTCCTGGGAAACTGCGCTGGAATGTGCAGCGGTTCTGAAAAAGGCTCAGATTTGGCTGAAGTATAAAAATTAGGTGCACAGAAGCAAAGCCATTGTGTAGGGTAGGGGTGGGGCAGGTGGAGTCCTGATTTCCAGTGTTGATAGAAGGATTCCAATTTCTTTTGGAATTTATTTTTTCCTACTACAATTACAGTTTTGCTAAGAAAAATAAAATATCGGCTGTGCTTCCATCTCGGTTTCTAATTTACAGTGTCTACAGAAAAGAGAAGTCTCATTTACCCAAAAGAATCACCTTTCTGCAATCTCCAGAGCTGCTGGAAAAACAAGCGAGCCCAAGCCCACCGCCCGCACCTCCCGAGCACCCGGCTCGCCGATCCCGCCTGCTTCAGGTCGCTGGACTTGCCAGGTAAGCCAGCAGCAGCTGAGGTAGTGTGTGACCGCTGCACGATCGTGGCTGTTGGCATTTCTGGGTGTGGATGCTCCAAACCAGTAAACCACAGTACAGATCCCAAGCTTGGACTTTGAACCAAGCCCTTTTGCCTAGTTTGCTTTTTCCTCGTCAAGCCAGGATTCTTGCCAACTCAGCTCACAGCTTCTCCCCGGCTCGCGACTCCCCTCCAGCTACCTGCGCGTGTTCGGGATCGAAGCGCAATCAGGAGGCGGCTGGCGGAGCTCAGTCCACCAGCAGCTCCAGGGAGAGACGCAAACTACAACTCCCATCACGCCCCGCAGCCGGCTCCCCCCCTCCTCTCTCTCCTTCCCCTTCAGCCTGCGGCCGGGCGGCGCTGGGCTTTTATCTGCACGCCCGGCGAGAGGGAGCCAGCCAGATCCCAGCGAACTTCCCCGACGGCAGCGCTTTACCCGGCGGCGGCGGCAGCTCAGAGCCGGGGTCATCTCTGTGTCCGCGCCAGCCCGGAGCCGGGGAGGCAAGGGTTCTGTTCTGGGCTCACTGACAGGATGGTCATCCGCGTGTTCATCGCCTCCTCCTCAGGCTTCGTGGCGGTGAGCGCGGTGGGGGCGGGCAGGGGTTGGGGTCCCGGGGCGCGGGTTCTGCGGGAGGCGCGCGGCGCTCGTCACTGCGCGTCCTGGAGCTCAGCGCGTCTGCCCGCTGGAGCCTGCGCGCGGCAGGTGATCCATCACACTCCGACAACAATGAAAAGGGCGGGGAGGAAAGGTGGATGGGGGACCCTGGCCTCACCCAAATGCCCACCCTGCGTGGCCTGAGAGGCAAACAACGCGGCCTGAAAATGGTGTCTGAGGGAAGCCCCCAGCTCCTGTTGTGTGGCGTGGAAATTTGGGGAACGGGTTGTTCAAGAGCTTCGGGGGTACCCTTTTCCCTAGTTTAGTTCTTCCTTATTTGGGACCTTCAGGCTGGTTATGTTTTGCACGGGTACCTTTTCGGCTGCTTTGGTTTGTTAACCTAGGTTCTGAATGAAACAAGTTTAAGTGGGAATTGATCTTCGTCCTCCCTTCGCCGCCAGCAATTGCATTTCTTTAGTTTTGTACCTGCGCAAAGAGAATGGTAAACCAGGTTTGTCCTGTTGTGCCAGGGTTGTTTGCTTTTACTGTCATTTTCTTTTCTTAGGGTTCCATAAATATTTTTACCTCTTTATGTAAATGTGTATGTATGCACACTTTTTTTTTCCACCTGTAATGCTGTGGTAAATTTTATCTTGGGGATGAATGAATTGTGATTTTTAAATTTAATTGTTTTTAGTTATTCTCTTTGGTGGATGTTCTTGAATTTTTTTTTTTTTTTAAAAGGAAGGAAAGTTAAATAGGTAGAGATGTCAGACTTTAAGTAAAAATTCAGTAGTGTATTTGACAGCCCATTAAGGCACATAGCACATGATTATTACATGATTATTGAGACCTCGTTTCCTTAACCAAGAGTTGAACTATAGGTTTACGAGCCTCCTTGGTGACATATGTAATCAAGTAACATCAAAAAGTGCATTGTAGATTGCTTAAAGTTTGGTCTGGCCAATTGCCTGCTCAGTAGCTTAGTCATATTGTCCCAAAATTTATTAAGTGGGTGGAATGGAGGATAGAATAAAATACTGTTTGAGAATCTTTGTAAACCACTGAAGTTTTTTATTTAAAAAGAAACCAACATGATCATACCCCAATCTGCACTAGAAACAATAGATGGGAAATTCCAATTTATCCTTATGTGCAGGCATGTTGGGGTCTTCAGACTTCCGACAGTTTCTGGCGTTTCTAGCTATTTGGGTTGCTTAGTCATCCCTGCCTTTTGTAGATTTCCCCTCTGAAGCTACACTTGATGTGTTTGCAAACTGGCACTGTTTCCAAGGGTAGATGTATTAAAATGCATTTCTTGTATTAAAATGCGTGCCGTATTAAAATCCCTGTATTAAAATGCATACTAAGAGTGCTACAAAGCTCTTGGTTTCACCACCGACTTGCATGGTTCAATAATTTTCCCTATAGCATTATATTAATTATGGAAGGGATGATTTTTATCATCCCTTCCATAAGAGATAAAGCCTAGACTATGTTAAGCAAGTCAGACAAAGTCGAGGTAATGACTTGGCTTATTCTATTAGTATGTAGTATATTGAGATACTTTGGGAACTCCACATTCTTATTTTTTCAGTGCCATTAGCAAATATTTATTGCCTGCCTGCTGTGTGCCTTTTTAACTTTTAAATGTAATGTTTTGTGTTTTGCACATGAAGCTAAAATTAAGAGACTGAAGTTTTAGCGTAGGCCCTGAAGTTTTAGTGTGTAAGCATGGGTAAGGTGCCTCATATCTACCTGAGTTTCTCTTCTGTAAAATGAAAGATTTTTATGAATAACTCAGAATTGCACTCTAGCTTTAATGTATTTTGACTTCGCCAGGTGAGTAAATGTGGATGAATTCTTATAACAGCTTCTTTTGCTCGAACAATATACTTATCTATTAGTCTCAAAGTGAATTTCTTTCCTTGAGCATTTTACTGTGAAGGCTCAGATCCCCCAATGCCGTACCTCATAGCATGTGTTCTGATGTGGTTTCTTTTGACCTAGAAGACATGCGCAGTTACCACATACTTACAGACTATAAACACTAATTACGTATATTAATGTTGGTGCTGTTTGAAGACCCAGTCTTTCTAAGGTTTTAGAAAATCCTTGTTTGTTGAGTCTCCTCAGTTGTATCTTTTATCAATACACAGTTATTCATTAAGTCTCCCCAATTGTAGTTTTATCTCTCATATCAGCACACGGTTTATCTGTAATAGCCATAATTTTAGTGATGTTAAGGCTATGTTCATATGCAAGAATAATTATTTCTAAGAACTAATGAGGATGTTTAGATCAATTCTTGGGCCAGCGAGGCTAATGGGGCCAGTAGCATTAAGCTATATTAAGCTTTGGTGGCATAGCCATGATATGTTCTCTCCAGCAGTGTTGGGTTGACTGTTGGTAGTGTTTCATTTGGTACCCAACTGTGACCAGCAAGTGGATGGGAGAACAAATAATTTGATTCTCGAGTCAGTTTGGTTTTAGCTGAAGTTTATTAAACCCCAAGGAAGAAATGTGACCAGAATTAGACTTAGCCAAGTAAGTCCCAAGGATTTCCAAAAAGATGCTCCATTTCAATCATTAATAGATTTAAATAATCTATTTACAGAAAACCATCCTATCTTATTCCGATTCCCCCTAGGCACTCCAGCTTCAACAGTTGGAACAGCTAACACCAAAAGATATTCCTCTTTTGTCTTCCTTGGCTCCAGGTGGAGTCAGCTTTTACTAGGAAACAAAAACAATGCAGCATTATTATGCTACGGTTACCTGAAAATCTGATTACTTACTCAACTGACCAGGTTGCTGTTTCTTCACATTGTATTGTAGGGACATTGTTTTTCTCAGTTCTAAGAAAATAGTATATTCATAGAAAGGTCATTTTACAATTTAATTTCTTCTGGATGTATTCCTGATAGGGGAAGTCTTAGTAACTTTGACTAGGAAATATGTTAATAGGACTTTATACTTTAAAAACATTGAAATCAGTCAATTATTTCATTTACTCAATCAGTCAATTATTTCATTTATTTATTCAACAAGTACTTTCTAAGACTCTTCTGTTTGCCCAGCTCTGTCCTTGGTCTTCTGGGAAGCCAGAGAATAGAGGGTGTGATCTGTGTCTCCAAGGAATTTACAGGTGGGACATAAGTTAGGAAAGGTAGTAAAGTGTAACCTAAGGACGCATGCTTCTTGCAGGAACATTCTTACCAGAGATCAAAATAATATAGGTGGCAGTGAGATGCAATGCAGGATGTCAGATAAAGAAGAGTGTCAGAAATCACAAAATATGCATGTGGGAGCCTTAGGCAGTTGGCAGGGAGAGGAATTGAGTTAGATTTGAAGCCTGGGAGAAAGTTCTTGAGCCCACCTTGCTCAAACTGGAAAGGGGGAGCTTTGGAGCTTTGGGTAGGACCGGCTAGACTCCAGAAAGAAGACTGAAAGAAGCCCATGATGACAAACTCTGTAGTGTTTAGCATCTCACAGATGTCTGTCTTCAGTTTCTGCAGCTTGTCTGCTGCCTATAGCCTTTTATTTCTCAGGGAACATGGAGCTGCCTGGCAGTGGGGGAGCCCTGGTTGTGTGATTTCAGAAGAATCTTTACCTTCCTACTTGCCTTGACTAACATTTATCAAAAAGTGAATAAAGTCTTTTACTCCTCATTAAAGTTCCTGGGCTCTGTTAGAGTTCGCGGGAAACCTAAAGATATCTCTAGTGAAACCCAACTACCTAATTTTAAAGAAAAGGAAATTTAGGTGTAGAGATTAAGTGACTTTCCCAGAGGCCTTTTATGTCCAGTCAGTGCAGAGCTGAGATTTCATAGGAAACCAGATTCCTGATGCCCGAATGCATTCATTCATGCATTGAATGATTCATGTACTCATCAGACAATCACTGAAAACTTACTTAGCCAGACTCTGTATTAGGTGATGTTAGGTGCTAGATGTATGTGGTGGTCAGAACAGACGTGGACTCTGCCCTTATGGCATAAAACAGGGCTGTCTGTCTCCATTCAGTTTGGAGACTTGGGATGCACACTGTTTAATCAAGGAGAGTGAAGGACTGATGCTGGCTTGGGAGATGTTTCCACGGGGCAGGGTGAAATGAGCTAGATGTCAGTATATCCCAGGATGTTGGAGAGCCACCATCACACTAGGAGCAAAAAGATACAAAGGAATTGGAAACAAAGTTGGAAAACAGATAGAACTTTAAAGTGAGGGTGGGTAGGGAAGGGGAACACGTGGAAACTATGCTCAGAGTTGTCTTGCTGTTTACAACTATAAAAAATGTATACCTCCCTCTTTGGGTTATTTATAACTATTTTATACACACAATTATCAGGTAAGGTGTTACATCCCCATGAATATTCAGTGAGAC